AACTCCTTCGAGGGAGTTCATATACCTTGCCATTATTTCCAATGAACCTGATTCCTCTTCCTAAGCCTTAAGCTAACCTACTCGCGAATCTTTGAAAAACGAAAAGCGATTTACAAGATTTCTTTAGCTCAGATACCCATGCCAATACCCTTACAATGTGAACTGAAAGTCAAGTGTCTGGCTTATTCGATAATTTTGGTTTTCATTCCATCGAGTGTCTCTACATTGGTGACGGATAAATTGCTTCACATAACTGCTTTTTGTGACCCTTTATTTGAGATTGTACGGGTTGACTAGTCTTCTGGCTTTGACCCCTTCGTCAGAGCATGGGAGCCGAAGATACTTGAGATTCACCCCGTCAGCCACCATTCCAGAGTCACGTTAAGGGATACCTGGAACGATGTCTAGAAAGTTTAGGTGATAACAGGCTATCCTTCTCTACAGTCTACAGTCTACGCCATTCCTCAGGGGTTCTCTCGAAGTTTCGAAGGTTTTCAGTGAAACTTCGATCTATACGGTACTGTGCGCTGGAGCCTTTTCTCTTGTTTGGTGGGGTCCCGTACGGTTAGCCTGAGTCTGATTCGATTCATTGATGGTACGAAAATTGAAGTTGTCTTTTGTCTCCGTCTCAGGTCACTCCTCTACCATTGCAATAGAACGGCGATATGGAGACGGAGGGGAAATCGAATAGACAGGTAGTTGATTGCTGGATTCAAACGTATAATCCACTGGGCAACCGTATGAAAAACCTCAGTTTCGCTTGTGTCATCAAGTCGTAGCGCAACGACCTTCAATATGAGCTAAACGTTCAACATTTACCACAGGAATGTGTGTTTTTTGAAAGTTGTCGCCAAAATGGTGCTCAGCACGACAAGGGACTTCAGTGAGCAGTTTTTGAGTTGATACCCATGTAAACGGCGTCGTGCATGAGGTCAGCCACTATGGGAAACCTTTCATGTGAAACGCTGTGAAGAAGTGCCAAGGTTAAAGCGTATGCATGGCTCCAGAACCTGGGCCGGGACTGACTTACTACACTGACTTCTACATCAATAGTGTTCTTTTTTGGTACAGGTAGCCCACCCATTAGTGGGAGTACCCAACGATTCCCAGCGCAATCTAAAGCCAAAGGTTGGTAATTAGAGAGCTACTGGTAACTAAAGTTGCCCTATAGATCCAGTGCATGGTGGTCATGAGTTCGCGGACTACAAATCGCTCATCATTGGATTGTGTTTGCTCTTTGAAAACATTTAAGTAGGTTGTCGGGAGAAATAGGCTATGCACACCAGTGTACGCTACATAACTGGCCCAAGGTAAACAGTGTTAACAAACAAAAAATAATCGAAACCATTCCGAATACGTTGCATCCGTAAATGTGAAAGGTATCCCTTATCCATTCGGCAATTAGATAAACCGTCATGGGAGCAAATTTAGAGGCAAAAATCCTATCCCAATTGGTACTCGAACCTCCCTATACACTTCCAAGACTTAGTACTTCTTTTACACTACAGATACTCAGGCACTTTCACGAATTTCCTTTCGATTCCCCAGAACGCTACCTTTACCACCACAGCTCTTATTGCAGTCTATCCAGTACTACCTCCAGGTTTCCAGTGACACGGGATTCTGTGAAACCCCTGAGTCACCCTGATTGGTGATTCCATCTCTATGATAGTCAGAATTCCAAGCTCTTAATGATTGCAGGATCCTTTTCATATCTCCAGAGTACCCACTGCCCTTACCCTTAAGGGCAGAAGATCTGGCATCCCATAGACATATTTTACCACTGCTCACCGATTCTGTAATAAACGGTAGAAGTCGTACTCACAGGACTTACCTGACCAGCCTTGCTAGGTTTGTATAATCGCAAGCATTAGAAATATACGCATACCTACTAGATAATCATAGGTAAGGTAGGTTTATGATGAGTTGAGGGCCTCCAACGCAACGGAATGGGATGGTTCAAGGTGTCAAGGCATTCAGAATTACTCGTTCTGCAGACCATCTTCCACGGTACCGTTCCCATCATAATTGCCTTCCCTCTCGTAACCATACGTGGTATTCAATGATCTTTTAGGTCGTTCAACCTTTTCAAGGTCCGTTCATCGGCCACGAAACGCTTGACCCACATCGTTTTTTTTTCTTCTACCCATGCTCCCAATGTGTCAACAGACTCAGTGCTCCGAAAGTGTTGCCAATTACATGGCCGAATGTTACAATAGTTGCTAGAGCGTCGTCATCGCTGTGAAAAATTCCACGAAATAATTCGCGTACACTTGACCTCACGCCCTCCATCGTTAACTGGGGAACCAAGCGAACAGTAGGCTAACCTGGAATAGCCGACGAAATTGGTCTGAGAACTTGCACAAGTGGGCGCAACCGTGGACTTAGCACACGGATGGCGTACGTCGCTGGCTTGAAAGGTCAATCGAGGGCGGAGGTGATCCCCTGCCGACATACCCACACACACTGTAGTAGTTCGTCCGCCTCCACCCCCAATCCGCAGGTCCGCCCAATAGCGGTAGTGTGAACATGTTGATCAGCACCAGCACACTACTCACTTTATTACCATTGGTGTCAGGCTTCATCGAGAATAGTATTGTTGGTAAGTGACTCTTTGATTCCCTTTCAGAATACAGCCAAAGCGATGTGTAGGGTTGTCCTTCTATCGGAACCTAAGGGATGGTGTAGTTCCCTCCAAGGAGGGATTACATCATCCCATAGGTATGTCGCCATTTTCCAAGCTCCAAGGAGGATACCATCGACGTTATATTTATCGAATTTTACAGCGATTTTTCGCCATCTATTCATTTACCTATAGACGCTTCACCATAGACGATTTGGAGACCTTCCTTTCCCAACAGGCCCTGGGTTTGACCAGCCGGGCTCCTTAATCAGTCCAAAAATCTCGCGAGGGTGCCCATGTTCTCATGAGTCTATCCTCCTCTTATCAATCAGGAGTAACTTCTTAGCGGTACGTCCTGAAAGGCGAAGAAAGCCAAAAGGAGCCAGGGAACACCATGACTGTTCCCATTCTAGAAACAGGCACATGGGCACAACCCTAACTCAAATGGCAGCATAGGATAGAACCAACCATTCTCCTCTTTTTGTGCCACTTCTTCATCCTATCAAATCCATGTTTTCATTGGTAATCTCGTCATAATTCATCTATTACCTTAGTTGAAGTTACCTTATCTTAGTTCTTACAGCTAACGGAATGTTTAGAAAGTTCGGAAACGTTATCGGAGAGGGGCTAAACTCACCCTTGGATGGGCCGCTGTTCAAAGAAGAGCAGCTAAGAGAAGGTCCCTTCTAGGAATGGTACTTTCCTGAAAAATCTGCGACCAACGGAATAGGAGCCTTTTGGAAAGCAAATGATCATCAGCAACTCTCATTGCGCTGATTCTGTTTCCAGCTTTTCCTCTATCATTCTTGAGAGCGCTTTCATTTTTCAGGAGGGGTTCCAATGAGGGAATTCTGTAAATATCCTACTTTCATTCATAAAAATATCTAATTCACGGATGTGTTTGCCAGATTTCACCCGCGGAAATCCAACAAAAGGGATATTTACGAGCTAGACGAATGTCGCACGACGAAACTGGCCCTTACTTATCACTTTTTACTCTGTGTTTTCCGTGAAGCGATTGATTTTTCCCTACACATAATCCGAAAGAGGTTAATTGTTTGCAGACTTTTTCTTTTTCGTACACTTTTTGCATATTCTACCATTTCCTAGAGTAATGAGTTCATTTCTAGTGTCCTTGGCATGAGACTGTTCCATGTGGTCGCGGCACTGAAAGTTCACCAGAAAAACTTGACCCACAGGGCTCTTGAAATTCATTCTGTTCAATGAAAATTGGGCTAGTAGCATATAGAATCTGAACAAGTAATTGTTAAGTACAAACTCTTCTGAGTTTTGCGAAGACTATACGCGTTTAGCCTATAGTGGAACATAAACTCACCAGAGCTTCTGGTAGTAAGGTCTTTTCATATTTACCTGTACTTATCAAGTAGGGAAGGCAAAATGCTAGTACTGTAAGACGAATTCACGTTGAATACTACTTCCATATGGAGATAATGCCGCTATGGATACCTTCACTGAATACAAGCCCTTTGTAAGAACAGATCTAATACTTGGTCAAGCGACTCTTTAAAGGGCTTGTTTGAGGATGAGTCAGATGAGTTGTGTGATGAAGGCAGAAACATATGCATTGATTCGGTTTCATCCTACTTTTCGGAGTCCTTGGAGGCTTGAGTGGTCTGGGCGCATAGTAAGCCGGGATTAGATCCTGTCTTCGTACATACCATTCATGCGACAGTGCGCCACTTGGCCATGGGTTTAAATATCTGTAAATAAAATCTATAAAAAATGTTAAAAACAAAAGCATCTAAGCACTAGCGTGTTCGTGCAAGCAATTGTATCAGCTCCAATGCTATGACAGATTAAATGTGATGTCAAATGCACGGCGTACTCCATGGTTCATTGGGCAAAGCTGTGGAAAATGATTCCAGGTGAAAGCGTTTGAGAGAAATTGAGAACGAGTCACATACTTAAGATGGGGCAGTCCATCATTAATCCGAAATCTGCAGATCTGTTTGAGAGTAGAGCACAGCTTATTTCCAATTTATCAGTTTTTATTTGGTATCTTGCATAAATTCATGTAAATTCAGTATGTTCCAGGTACTCCAAAAGTATTATGTGAGGATAACGATTTATCACTAGATATCGTCACTTCCAAACCATTTCAAGGAAATATTTTTGTAAAGGTGAGGAATAATTTTGTCATAAGTGTTTTAATCCAAGTTTCTACTCTCTTTTCAAATCCTATAGCTATCATCGCATTTGTAGGATTGTGACCTTTTTTAATTCCTTTGCTTTCTACTTCTTACTCTTCAAAGGTCAGTGTGGTTTTCCTGTACCATTTCAATTTCTCCCTTTCCCATCACAACACTTTCGATGCCTTCTGGTCACGCTATAATCACTGACATGCCCAATGTTCCATTTTTTGTTACATTTTTATTGAAATGATCGATATAATCTACAATGGTGGCAAGGTTTAATGACACAATGACATTGGAAACTCTTATTTTGTAAGGATTATAGTTCTCTCGCTAAAATACCAGGGAAGACAGGCTTTTTGGAATTAGTAGAAGTTTGTTTCATCGATTATCATGGTACTCGTGATCCGCTTTCTACTTTTATCCATGCTCTCCTATCAGAAAACGTTTCTGTGAGTATTGAGATATGAAGTTCCGGCCTTCTGCAGCTGTGGCGGTTCGAATTCGTGTCCGCCTAATTGTAAGCCAACCAGGCCCTCCATCACTCCGGGGTCGGTTAATTGGTACCAGACTCGTCTGGGAGGATAAAAGCACTGACTAGTGCATCGGCTGGCCACCGCAAGTCATTATACTTTTCAAATCACTCTTCTGAAGAAGCTAGGTGCTTTTTGAGGCTCACCAGCAGTTGAGCTTGAAATCCAACAACAAGTTCAGAACTGATCGAGTCCCTCACTGTTTTAAAGATGTGTTGTATAGGCTACATAAGTACACAATACGCCACTACGATTTTGAATGAAAGTCGAATCCGGGGCGCATCCTTCGGACGTGGTTTATTAACGCTCCAAGACTTTATCCATTATCCTTTATGGGCATGAACCTCAATTAGAGTTGCTCTTTCCCTTGTCGATATCTTATTGTTTGTACTTCCTGGAATAATTCTGCCGCTTTCGATCAATCGCTTAACTCTAGCCATAGCGGAAAGAGAACAAAGGACATCGAAGAAACTCGGTAAATCGCTGAGGAGTAAGCCAACTCTAGAGTCAAGTGAACGCTAAGAGGGTCAGGGAGTTATTTCCATTTGGACATTTTCTTGATGGTACTTATTCGAGCAGATTTATTCAAAGCCGTTTTTCGTGCTATCTGAAAAAGGATCCTGCATCGGGGACTACTTTGGATCTCGTTGAGGCAATTGTGCGAGTCAATTGCCGTTGACTTGACTTCAGATTTCAGGGAAAAACTTTTCGCAAAACCTATCAATCTCCATGTATTCTGACCAAAACGTCCATTCTAATCTATTGCTGGGTGAAATGACTGACCTTGGTGCAATGAGATTTCTACTCATTCAGAAGAGAAACCTATCCACTCGAGTATGATTACCGAGTATACACCTGGCTGTCTGAACTCAAACTCCAGCCCAGAACGTCCCACACACTCCCTATGTGATCTTTTCTCAGTGGGAATAATAAAATGAAAATGACTTATATAGTCTCTCATCGATTTAGAGCCTTGAGCCCCTCGTGGTTGCCTACGTCAAACACCCACAATGTCGATTCTCAAATGATTGGGTCCGCCCTTCCGTTACACAGGAGTTTCTTTCCTGATTTTTAGCCAGATTTACCCTACAAAGAGTGCAGTTCGGGTAATGGGTGGGGCTTGTGGGGTGGGTGGACCTTGTGTGGCTTCGAGTGTTTGTCATGATTTTCACGATTATGTTGCCGAACAATATAGGATCATTACTATACCCTTACTTGTTTTTTGCCTCTTCATCATCCGAATACCCCTTTCTTTTTTCATTCATTTATTTGGAAAGACACCAGAAAGAGCCAGAGGAAAGCAAGAAACTCAACAATGAAAATAATATCAAATGAATCGCATGGAAACAACACGTTCCACAGCTTCTGCCTACTTATTTCTTTACTTTTACCTTTAATTCTATCCACTAAAATAAAACTCTAGGTCATCACCAGAAATACAGAAGTTTTTAATAGAAATTACGATTTAACTTTGCTACTACCTCAGTCTATCGTCCCGCTTTAAATGGTAAGACAATGTTGCAGGGTCGAGCTAAGGATAAGTCCTGTCGTCAGTCATATGCCAACAATGGCACGAATTCCTATTCACTTCCATTGGGAAAATGCGGTATGCAACGATTACGTTCGGTGAGTTCCTTCTGGTTTTCAGTGTTGCAGTGCTACAAAACGAAATGTTTGGTTTTCTAGGCAAATCCCAGAGGAGTGAATTTCGTGGTGACCGTACTGGTATCATTTCATCCAGCTGGGTTCATTACGAAAAATGATAGAGCATTTCATGTAAAATGCTTCTATATGGAACCTGATTCAATTGTTAGTCAAAGTATTGATGTTAGGTATGTATTCACCAAATTTTTCAACAATTTTAGATGATTCCAGTGATTTAACTCTTTTGTTGATCGGTTAGTCGACTGACAGCAGCAGAAGGTTACTTAGGGGTGGACTTAGCTAGTGATTCCTACCTGATTACTAAGCTCCTACTATAGCGTCTGTGCTCTTCATATGCCCATCACTAGCAAATTCCTAACAACCTTCAGAAAAAGTAAAACAACGACGAATAACCCGACGAGTTCCTCAGATCATCGCTTAGACGCAAACCCTTTCAAATGTCGTCACAATTCTAGCCTGATTCGTAGGCATGGCGCACCTTTAGAACTTCAATCATTAACGAATGCTGCCTGTTTTCTTCGCTTTTTTATCACTGAGCTTATAAGCAAGTCGTTCTATACTGCTCGTAAAGTGGAAGTTATGGAGAAAGGGGTGACAACAGAAAGGGAGTGAACACTTTATCTCTCCTTTGCCCCTGCAAAACGATATTTTACCTACCCAATCGTGTCTTCCCAGATATTTCCCCAAAGATTATTTCAGAACAAAATACATGGCGAAAATGAAAATAGTTTGAACTCGAGCAGATTTTTTGAATTTTTCAGCAGTTTACCAACAACTGAATTGCAAGATTCCATGTCAATGCCAAAATGTGAATATTCGGTCCGACGGGATTCACCCAATGGACCCACACTCACCTACGCTAATGTCGGAGAAATGGTAACTAACTGCTGAATATTATTAAAATTTTTATCATTCCCAATTGATACCAAAAATAAATAAATTTAATTTATAATTCATAATTATTTTTTATTACTCGGTATTATTATTTATTACTATTGTTTTATTATTTAACTTATGGTTAGAATATAAATTTGTCGGTATCAAGAAGCTTTTGAAAAAATTATTCACGTCCCGAGAGGGGCTTTTGCCTTGAACGTCTTTAATGCTTATTTGTTTATTTGTCTATTCTTTTGTTTGTCTGTTT